TTCTGGAATTATTTTATAGCTTCTATATTCTACAAGGAAGCTAAATAAAATTGTCACCCTTGTCATTCTTCATTTTTCTTTGGGCCTTCACTTCAATGCTAGAAACTTGCAATAGTCACTTAATTTCATGATTTATCAAAAAGTGATGGTTGAATCTGTCTAAAACTATTGGATGACCCTGACAATGTACCTGTTGGATTAATCATTGCATTGCATCAATAACACATCTCACTGATTTTGGACGATTTACATATACCTGTATATAATTCATGAATGATTCCTAAATACCTGTGTTCTGTTCACGATGAATATTTTATGAGGAGTATTGTTTTGATTCCAGAATTAGAAACCAGATATATATACACATCCAAGTTCAGAATAAACATTTTATCAGAATTATTTATATGGATGTTGTTATTTGCGTAAACTAAAATACTTTACAATATTTCATAGATTGTTAATGGCTTGTGGTCTCTTATTATATGGTATAAATACTGATGCAGTCAAGCAGCTCTTTTTGCTTGAACAGTTTTGCAGTTTCTCTGTGTAAAAATGTTTTAGCATTTAATAAGTTTTGATTGATGATTGATGTTTATATACAATATAGAAGGCATTTTCTCTTCTCCCTGTTTGTTTAATAGGAATTTTTTTGAATATTAAGATTATTGTCTAAAAATGAATAAGTGAGATTTTTCAGTGGTTATGAATGAATTAAGCATTAAACTGAGGTCATAGACACTGATGGATCCCATTGGACAACAATTTCAATTGTTCTCAATTGTTTTTGATTAATTTTTGCAATTCAAATACTTAAACTTAGAGTTTGCTTTTCTTGCTGGGTTTCTCTAGGTTTTTAGTCTCTTCCCTTTGGGGCTTGTGCTTAGATATTTAGAATGTTTGAAATATGAAGAATGGACAAAAATGTCCCTGTTGTGTTGAGTTATGCGTGACTTACAGTAGTAATGACATCAAAAACAGTTCATTGTTGTCTTATAATAAACTGCAAATAAGCATTCTGATGATTGGTTGAAAGTAATTAGCCATTGATGAGTGTGCTTTTTGATAAAATTGTCATCATAAGAACAGTGTGTCTGACATGTCTGACAGGAACTAGATTGTGCACTTATAATGTTTAACAATTACCGTAGTCGCTCTATTAAGGGCCCACCCCTAATAAGCACCCACGCCACTTCACAGAGTTCAAGAAATATCGAGGAATGACCAAGTATTAATGAATATATCAGAAAAAATCAAATTTCCAAAGAAATATAGTGGGCGATAATAGAGTACTTACACTAAAATGCAGAAAACATGACGCATTTTGTAAATCGATGCATCCTCCTGATGAATATCTACCAGTGGATGCTTCCCACATCATACTAAGCTAATATTATCTCAAAATAGTCCATAATGAATGAAGGAAATGATCACATTTCAGAGTTTTGTTTCAACATTTTACTAACTCAGCGATCTTCAAGGTCATGTCAAGGTCGTGAACTTTCTTGTTTTTTTAAGATTTCTCGACTTTTACATGACTTTTACACAAAAAATGATGATCTGTCATCAAATTAAAAAAATCTAACAGTGTACAGTGGAAATATTGAAGATAATCATAGAAAAATATTCCTTCACTTTGAGGGCTCTTCTGGGGAGTTTTTCAATTACTGTCAATATAGTTAGATTCTTGCTTTATTTTAGCAATCTTTACCGTATTCTAACGATACATATCATTATTGTAAAAATATGCTGTTACTTTCGTTGTAAATAAGGCATATTTGGAAAGAAAAATTCCCATACATGAAATTCCCCGGGGATTTTTGACTTCTCTCATATATCATCCTCCTAAGCAGGTGTCAAGAATCCGTACCTCCTTCTTCCCCCCTGCTATAACCAAGTTGGAAGCGCCTGATTCAACTGAATCACTTGATCTAATTATGCATTGAAGCCCTGTGATCGGAGGATGCTCATATATGGGCGCTCTTTGTAATGGGTTACAAGGGGAATTTCAATTTCAAAAGCGCCCTGAGCACTTATTACGGCGAATACAGTAGCTAAGTTGAACTGAGAATCTGATTATCTAGCCATCCTTTCACAGTTGATTTGTTAGACATGAAGTATCAGATATTTTCTAATGGAATTTAGGTCCCCTGAGTGGTTTTTCATTTGTGTGTTTTAATTGAGGATATTCATTGTATTATTCAATGAATAGCTTACTATTAAATAAACTTTGATTGAATCTCTCAGAGGGAATTCGTTTGTCATTATTTTCACTAATGAAATATTGCTGTCTAGGATTTCTGGTTTTTGCTTCTTTTGCTTTTTTTGCTTTACACATAACAATATTTCCATTTATGATGACGTCTCATTTATGAACCATTTTTTCTTTTGAAGAAGTGCAATAGAACTGCTGAATGGGATGATTAGCGGAACTGATTCCTCATTAATAGTTGCTTTGAAACAGGCATTTTGAACGGTGTCAAATGTTTAAATATTCATATTTTCACATAATAGCATAGAAATGTGAAGGTATAACACAACTAAAACTAAAAGTCTAAAAAATCCATTCAGAGTTAGAGAACTGTCTTTCAATTTTTCAACAGGATACAAAAAGTCGCCAGTTTTGCTATAACACTTTGAAATAGTTAAAACTCCATTCCATTAATGAAGTAATCTCTGATCAAAAAATAAAAATCATTATATCAGACTCAATTCCTCCTATCAATTCCTAGTTTTTTTCAAAATAAATATCAAGAATTCTGGCAAGGATTTTATTACCATATAAAACGAAATCAACACCTGATATTTATTGAGTGTACTTGTATACCTGTACATATTAATGAGGAAATCATGTTAAACATTCACAAATATGTCTCAAGAGATTCTGTTTTCCATTTAGTCTATTTTACCATTACCATCATGAATGATTTACTATCTGAGAGACAAAAATGTTTGCATGTGAAATGTGAAAATAATGATCAATCTTTCCTTTTGTCATATGGTTGACAGGTGCTGTACAAGTTTGATTATAAGTCGCAACAAATGCGTCTGAAGGTTAGAACATTAGTTGATAGCTCAACATAGATGGTCATGGTCATGGGCATAGCCAGGGGGATGCAATAGGGGCGATCGCACATCCCACCCCCACAATAAAAGAAAAAAAAACAATTTAGTTTGTTATGCTTAAAATGCACAATATACAATGTAATTTTTATTTTTTCCCAGTATTGAACCCTAAAAGGCTCGCTTTGCTCGCCATGATACAAACCCACGCACCCGCTGGCTATGGCCCTGCAGGTCATGACAAGTTACAACATGGATGACAATTTAATTTATAGATGGCATGTCCGCGCATATTGGACACATCACAATATAGATGGCACTTCATAAACATGGATGCATGACAGGATGATATAATATAAATATAGATCAGCAACTTATTTTACCTTTTTTATCATCTTGCAAAATGATAGATTTTGTCATTATTAAACAAACAAACATAAGGATTGGAATCTGAAAGTGAAACATTATATATTACTAATTCGAACATGACTGTATTCACGCCTTCTATAAACTGTAAACAAAGTCAACGTTTCACCCGGGATATATTCGCGATCAATACCCCTGGTAGTATGTGTAATGTGTGACGTCATAACGGTGGGTTGTAGTAATGGCGGACCATGATGAATATTCGAAACATTTTGGTGAGTTTTCATGTTCGAATCGTAATATAGACCTCAGAGCAGGGGTGATCGGTCTATATTTCTTAATTCTTACATGATACGTGACATCACAATACAAGATTATGTGTCTATAATAATCATAATCAATAGGTATTGTATGATCGCTATTTTTCATGAATGCAAATATGGCAAATATATCATAACAAAGACCTTAATTCTATGATCTATGGCAAGTATCTGACCTCAGATATTATTCTGGCTATTACCAAAGACCTCAATTGCAATTTTGATCTTTTAATTAACAATGGACAGAATGAAATTTTCTCTCATATATTGCGCTATAAATCATAGAATCTCAGTAGATAAACACAAATTCCACTGAATGAACTAACAATGCTTCCTTAATGAAAACGTCATAGATTAGATATGGTGGGAGGATTTGTGTAATGTCTACCTGCCAATTTCCCATATAATACTGTTATACAAGGATATGTTAAAAAGAGGATATTGATATTAAACAAATACCAGTCAGAGTTAAATAAATCCATCTAAGTGATTAAACACTTCATTAAGAACCTTATTCATGATGATTTTAAGCCTAAATGCTATTCTTTTACAAAATCAATTTCTAGTGATTGGAAATGTGTGTCTCTGAGTAATTAAGCTCAAAGCTAATGGAATCACACTTTTACACTGAGTCAATATTATTTTATTATTTTCTAGTCATCCTTTATTAATTGATCAAGGCATATGAGATACACTTAATAAGTGATTTAGTTGGAATATGACATGATTGAGTTATTTATTTAATTCTTATTGAGAGGGTTTCTATACAAGGATATCTAACGACAGTTTATCTTACAACATATTACAACTAAATCACTTATTATGTTAGTTGTAATTAAGAATTGTATTGAGGGGTAGTTCCATTTTTTAAATAGAATTATATACAGTTAGTTATTTTCTCCTATGTCACATTTTTTTCAAAATAGTATAATGGCAAATTGAAAAGTTTGTAAAAATTAATATATTATATGATAGAAGTTTTTTATGTCAAAGTAAGACCTTTCAAAAATTCAAAATGCTAAATCCTGGATGCTTAATATGTTCGTTTGTGAGAAACCACAAAGGTCAACATTTGAAACAAAACTGCATCTCCTTGCTAGCACCTTCTTAAACCAAAAGATGAAATCAAAAGTATCTTCAAACATTTGTTTCTATGTATCTGTTATATGGCGATTACTAGAGTGCTGCTAACTCGATAAAAGGTTGGCGCTGGCTAGAATTGTCTATGGTTCTAGCCAGGATAAAGATACCAGTTCTTCAACTCGACAATGGGAAGAACTGCTCTACCTTAGTGACTAATATGTCATGATATGACATTTAAAGAGTCAATAAAAGATATATATATATAAACAAAGGTTTAATAAGAACCCACGACACCAGACTGGAATAAAAACAACAGGCAATATTATCAGTAATATTATTCTCTATGTTGAAAGTTATAAAATTCTTTAAAACGTTAGTCAAACAATATATATGGGTAAACACAGAAAAACAAAACAAATGAAGCCCCTGTTCACAATGATATTCCAAAATATAAACTTACATTTTTTTTTACATACTTGTACATGTGTTTATTTATTGTGTTCAATATTTAATGGTTTTCATAGCAATGCCATTGTTTGAGGCTGTTACACTAGGGTTCATGGAGGCATTGAAACTGGTCCTTTTGCTGCAATATACCCTCATGATAGTTTGTCTGAAGTCAGCATACCCCAGGCTATATATTATAGGGTTAATTGCAGAGTTACTCATTCCTAAGAAGACACTCACTACGAGCATCAGTTTGTTGATGGCCACGCCATAATAGTCTAAAGTATATAATAACAGGTTAGGAATCCATGATATGAAGAGATAAAATGCGATGAATGATAAAAATATTGTCGTTTTTGTCTGACGTTTCATATGCCGCCTGACTCTCTGATTATTTGGATTTTCTATGAATGATGCTGACAGTCGTTGCTGTTCTATCTTCTGTGCTTGGTAACGCGCCACCCCCAGGATTCTTAGGTACAGCACAGCAACAACAAATGATAGTACCATGACAGTGATGAACGTCGTGAGTCCCTGAGCAAGCGGGATGACATGGGGGTAGCGACACAGCGTAACTGGATGGTTTGGATGGTTCAAGTGATGGATGGGCGTGTAGAGAATAATCAAGGTGGCCCAGATATACATCCCGACAAGCGAAATGATCACATTTCTCATACTAATCAAACGCTGGTACTTGAACGGATGTAGGATAGCAATGTAACGTTCAAGCGCTATGAGGAAAACTGTACCTTGGGATAACAACAGAAAAAACGTCAGCAGTAAATATGCGGGAACACATAGCTGGTACTTCCTGTCATACTGCGCGATCATTTGTAAGTTCAAGCCTACAGCTCCCGTCAGCAGGTCAGCCAGGGCCAAGTTGCTGAGTAAACAATACGTCGGGGTATGCATCTTCCTCGTTTTAATGACAACCATTATTACAAGTCCATTTCCTATGACTGCAATTAAGGCAATTGCGATTTCGATCCCCAACATTGTCCATTCGTAGAGGTTCAGAGGAGTTTTCTCAGCCTCTGCCGTTATATTATCCATCTTAATTGGCTGATTATAGCTGTTACAAGTCCCCCGAGGCTTGTTTCGTGCTAAAATATCTTATATCAAGCAATAATCTTTTACAATCTACTCACATCTAGTGGGTTGAAATTGGTATTTAACCTCTGGGGACGTCAATTTAAATTATCTGTAATGACTATAATTCTTTCATTAGATAATTCTTTAATAGGTAATTGGTCACAATAAGTCACAATTATCAGATTATTTAGCACAATTTTCATCATAATGTCATGTTTCATTTATCCTTACTCTTTGTAGGTGATTTAGCATCCATGTATACCATTAACATTGTTTCTAGTTAGACGTATTTTTTAAATTGTGTATTATAGGCTAGCTTCCATATGCTCATATCCAATTATAACCGTTCTTTGTTCATAAAGTACTTCCGAGCAATCATTGATTATATAACCAAAATAATAATTGCTCTAATTCACGATCCAGTGTGCTTTTTCATAATCAGTATTTTATTATGCCATGTCTGTAATTAGTTACCTTTCTCCCTGTACTTATATATTCTTTGATTGCTCTCTCATTGAAAGACCATTGATTTGGCTCAAGCAGGTCCTTTGGTTAATCTTAGTTAGTTAAAGACTTGTTCATTGTAGCAGTTCCTAATGCCCCTTTGTGCCGAGTTAAATGCTTGGCTTTGCAACCAAGAAATATTTCCTTTACTTACTGGTCAATCCTTATAAATACCCCACATCTATATTTTGAATAATAATATTTTCACAGTCTTAAAGCACTGTAACTAATCTGCAGTATTTCATTCAATAGTTCAGGTTTAAATCTGATGTGATTTCCTCTAGATACGTAAGTGAGTTGACGTCAGTCCTGCTTTACTGGAACCTGATAACTATTTATCATAAAGTTTATGAATATTTAAAATATTTTGAAAACAGCAACTTGTGTAATTGTTACATCATACCTCCTTAGATAGAGCACTGAGTGTTTTAATATCTGCCCGAATCCTTTATATCTTACAACTGCAAAGCTCAGCTGACATTTAAAAACTGTTGTTCTGTGGTCATGTGGTTAATGCTTTGTTTATTCAGTATCTAATTTCACAAGTTGATGGCACATCATATGTTCTCTTAAGTTTATTATTGTTTAGAATATTTCCCTGGAGTTTTTATTTTGCTGAACTTGTAGAAGTTTACTACTATCCTGTCTGTGCAGACCCCGTACTGTATGTCAGATATCTTCTAATACTCTAATGCTTTGATAATTCACAGTAGCCTCTCTTTGTATATCAGCTGAACACGTTGATTGATCCCGTAGCCTCTAATTATTCTCATTTTCCAATAAATGATGTGAAAGTAGTTTATTTCCTTGCATTTCTGTCCAATTTAGTTTTCTTAATTCTAACTTATAGTCAATTTTCATCCATTCAGTTTTCATTTTAATGTTATGTAATATTCTGAAATCTAATTACCACTGACATAAGTGAACCATAATAAAATATGAACGCTGGCAATGTTCCTATATAGCTGCAGTAATACCATTTTGCTATATGGGCATATTAGGGGTATAGGTTACTATATGATTGCACACAATCTCAAACATGAAAATTCTACAATGCCCCGTTGAAATTATATTTCAAATGTATATAGTATTTCTTCATTTGAAAATACATTGAGAAAATGAACTTAGTTCATAGCATACTTATGTTCAGATATTGCAGGTTATAACATTAGTACATTCAGAAATGAAGGTGCATTTAAATCTTAGCATTCAGGTATTTTAAGTAAATGTTAAACTTTCTGTAGGGGACAAGTAAACAATTCTAGAACAATACAATATTAATATAATCCTAGTACATTAAGTAAACAACAATATTCACACACCCTTTCATCAAATGATATTTTATTGCTCTCACATATTTTTCACTTTCTGCAATTTGTATCTTGTGTGTATATCTTATAATAAAAAGTTTCATTTTTGTTTTGTTTATGGTCTTCAATATTCTGTTGTGGAGATTTATGAGCCAATCAAGCTCTTTTGCAAACTTCAATGTCATAGAAAGTATAGGAGAAGCTGTCTTAACAAGCACTGATAATGATGGTGTTTGCACTCCCTGAGTATATATCAGCAATGACTACTGTATAGGATCTAGATCTACAAGGAAGATTTATTGTGACAACTCAGGCCCGTAGCCAGGGGGGGGGGGGGGGGGTTCGGGGGGAGGGTTCAATTTCTTTCAAAATCATGCAGTTTTTCACCATTCTGACTATTTAGTGATTTTTGGCCAAATTTGCCAAAGTGAACCCCCCCTAGAATTTTTTGAAAAGTAAACCCTCCTTGGAAAATTCTGGCTAAGGGCCTGCAACTGGCCCAAAGGTTACAGATGAAAATGTAACTTACATGTATACGATAACAGCAATTTTGTTTCATTCATAAATATGGGCTCAATGATGAAATAATACTCCTATTCGCGATAAGAGTTCAGGTGGTAATTTATATAAATATTTCCCATGATGCATTGCTTTGGAAGGGACACATTTTCATTGGCCCGCCGAACGAGTCGAATACTCTGAACGTTTCTCAGCTTCTGATCTTCCATCAGCCCTCAAGCATAATTATATGATCCAATCGGAGATTCAAAGTAACATTATTTATATTTTTTCGATTTTCGATGAAGTCTGAGCAATTTCTGGGAAATCAGTGACGTCACTGGAATTGGACGGCATTTTCAACTACGGATTTCTTCGGATTTGGGGATCTACAGTTCAAAAAGCCTTGTTATATATCTTAATTACATACATACCTATCATTTGTGCAAATGCAACTCTACATAAATGTTTAATAGAGTCGCAGTGCGGCATTGAAAATAGCACCCCTGTCTAATCCAATGGGAAAGAACCCGGATGTAGACGAAGTTGTACCATACATTAGAGCTCTTCAAACGTAAGGTAACTAAACTGAACTAAACAAAACGTTATCGCGTATTGGTATATTAACCGTTAATTATTAAAATAATGGGATGTTTAAATAATGGAATATAATGACCTGCATGATCCATGAAATGAAGAGAGGCTTAATTAATGAAATAATAGGATGTTAAATAATCAATGAAATTCTGAAGTACTTGCTGTTTTATTGGATCTAAAAACAATAATTTAATCCAAAGCTATTTCCTATTGAAAGCCCATGACCCAGTAAACATCCTTTCACTTTATCTGACACTCACAGACTACAATTTCAACAATTGCATCAAATAAGAATTCCCAGGTGCCTTTTCAAGCTCTTCCACAAGCAGTATGAATAGTTAACTACATGTAGGGCTGTGCCTGTATTTATTTATAAGTTTCCAGGTTGTCAGCCATTTCAGTGCCGTTTAATTAGATTTCTTCATTACTCAACATCACCTGGTGCCTGTAATTTCACCTCACATCTAATCTGATTACCAAATATGATTATTACCACCTTGCCGGGCCAGTTCTAGGGGTTTTAGTGCTAGTTTAGAAGGCATTCATTTTACTATATCGACCTGAGCAATATGTGACGTCATAGTGATGGTCAAGAATGCATAAATGATCGGTCTAGAATGCATTTAACAACCAGCAATTTTCCCCGGGAAATTAGATATCGTTCAGTGCGTAAGATTTTCTTGCTGTTTCAGTCCTGTTCATTAACGGTGGTAATAATACTAATAACGTCATTTCTGCCTTCGGCCAGATTCACTTAAAAAGTTCTCAGAATGGTGAAAACTGCATGATTTTGAAAGAAATTTTGGCCAGGGGGGGGGGTTCGCTCGAACCCATTGAAACCCCTTGGCTACAGGCCTGCATATTCATGTTATGGAGAAGGACCACAGCAGTTATTGACCCCATTAATCCCGGATCTTGCCTTTTCCATACACCTTGATCATTATTAATTAATCAATTAATTAATTTATGAGTCTGTATCATTTATAGTAGTTTCCCAATAAGGAAATGTAAATGTATGTTGCAATAGATAATTTACACCTTTTCAGGTTCTACTTTGGCTGGGTGCTCCAATTTTGCATTTTTGCAAAAAGTTTATGTGAGTTATATAGCTTGAATACATACATTACTGACTCTCAAAATGTCATAAGTGACAAACTAGAGTACATGCAAAAAAATATAACAACCAACTATACTTCACTTCAACATCAAAGTGCAGTAAAACCTCCTTAATCTGAATGCTGTATGTACAAGCCAAAAGTGTTTGTATTTGCAGGTGTTTTAACATGGAAATCTTTGGTATATTAAAGAAAAGTATTCACATCTAGAGATGTTCAGATTAGAGAGGCAAGCCCACTTGAAGAGGGGGGGGGGGGGTATTGGGGCGACCACCTTCCTTTTTAGAGACTTGTATTTAATGATGCAAATATGGCTCTCAGATATGCTCAGAATGTACTGGAGAGGGTCTAAATTTTTTCTGGACCCCCTAGCTTGCGGTGCTCCTCACCATTGACGCTTTGTGTGAGCGTGTCTGCAGTGCAACCCATCCGTATGTAGAAATCCTTTTGACGGGCCTGGAGAGGTGTTTGTAAAAAAATTGTTTAAGTTTATGTTTTATTTATTTATTTTATAATACTAGTCAACATATAATTACAGGGCCTACACCGAAGCATTATTGGCCTTGATGGTTACAATGGTAAAACTACAATGCTACAATATTACAATGCAAATATGATAGATATAAAAAAATAGATATAATATATTTTGATAAGAAATAATCATGAAAACTCGAAGACAGGGCAAAAATAAATATATATATTCCCGAAAATTGGACTATGTCGTGACTTCCTTGACAATAGAGTATAAAAAATCAGCAGTAAGTTCAATAGCCTTCTTGTTTGTAATGGAGTCAACAGAGGAATCAGCAAAAAGTAAAAAGTCTACCCTGTCTTCCTGTTTTCTAAAGGTGTTTGTAAATGCTGGTTTCACTGTATGTAGAAAGCGAAGTTG